GCGGTGAGACCCCGACCCTGCTCCCGGGACCCCGGGCAGGAGCGCGGGCCGGGAGGGGAGCAGGGCGCGGGGCTCGGGTCGCGGGTGGGGAAGGGGCGGGAGGGTCCGGCTGGGCCACGCGGGGACGCGGCTTCCCCGGTGCCGCCCCCGCCCTCCCCGCGGAGCCCGGTTCCCTCCCGACCCCGCACTCACCCGCGCGGGTCTGGGTCGGGGCCAGGGCGGCCGCCAGCAGCAGGAGCAGCGTGTGTGGGGCCATCGCCCCCATTTTAGCTCCAGGGCGACTCTGACTTCCGTGATTTGGGACTTTACAGCCGGTGACCGCGGTGACGCTGATTGGTTCTTCGGGATCTCGTCACCCAATGGGAGTGAGAAACGCAAACTTGTCATCAGTGTCCGGGCAGAAGGACCTGAGCCAGGTTAGGAGCTGGAGAAGTGAAACCGGGGACAGGGGAATCCCCAGCCCTGGGCTTCCCCACACAGACCTCACCCTCCTGGGGACTAAGACTTTGCCTGAGCCCTGTGCTGCGGGATGGGGCGCTGTGTGTCATGTTGTCTCTGAGCCGCCTAAGGACAACTGCTCCTCAGGTTAGTCAGGATGAAACCTAAGAGCATGAAGTTTCTAGAGAAAATACACAGCACTTAAAATGAATGTTCAGGGAAACAGGTGTTGTCGGAGTCCTGGAGGGTGCGGGACTGCTGTGGACACCGGCATCAGGAGGTGACTGGGGATTTTACAGCTCTGATTAAGCACTTTTGACACACTGTGTCATATGTGACTCTCCCTGCAGGAAAGAGGCTCTGCTCATCTCTGCTTTCTCGTTCTACTTCAGTTATGTGTGTCTGGGATTTGAAGACATCAAGTAAAAATTCAGACAAACAAAAACTGTATAAATACATTTTTTTCTCCAAACTATTGAACACTGATGAAATGTCAAATACCAGTATATACCTCTGTCATGAGAATGACTCTCTGTCCAGGAACTCAGAAGCCAACTGTTATCAGATCCAGGGTCCCAAAGTCTGCGACAATCATCTCCCTCATCTCATCAGCTCATAGAGTGAGAGTGAAGGTCAGAGATAGATAGATAGATAGATAGATAGATAGATAGATAGATAGATAGATAGATAGATAGAGGGAGGGTCACAGGTTATGTAACTTCAGCCACACTGTCACCATTATTCTCTTTATTATTAGTTCCAGTTCCTCTCTGACTGTGGTTTATTCACTAAAGCAGCTGCACCATGGAAGTGTGTGCACACAGGGAAACGTGGAGTGTAGACAGGGTCAGTGCCCTGCTGTATTTGGTCTCCACAGAGGTCTCTTCCCATGGAGAAGGGGTCTACTGTGCTGAGTCAATGACCCAGGTCCACAGGGACAATTTCAAGTTATGGAATGAAGATCTGTGTAAAACACAAGCACCTGGAGCCACAGATGATCATCTGGGAAGAAACACTAGGAGTCTGAGTGTAAGCACAGGCTGTGAAGACAGGATCCCGAGTGAAGAGGCAAAGTCTCTGTTTACAGTGAGATCCCTGAGCATCAGGTTTGGCAGTGTGAGCCGCCCACTGCAGGTGAACACAGGAGCCTGGTCTCTATGGGACTCTGTGTGGTGCTTGAGGCCAGCGCCTCTGCTTTTCTTTGTTTCTTTCTTTCTTGGAAATTTTCATACCAATCCCAGTTTCCACTCCCTTTCCTTCTCCTGCTCACTTGGCCTTTCCCCCTTAACCCATCCCCCAACCACTCCTCAGGAAGGGTAAGGCTTCCCATGGGAAATTAACAAAGTCTAGCAGGTCACTTTGAGGTATGACCAAGGCCCTCTTCACTATGGCTAGGCCAAGCAAGATATCCTTTCAAAGAGAATGGGTTAGAAAAAGCCAGTTCAAGCACTATGGCATGGGAGGATGGGTTGATAGGTAGAGGAACAATCCTTGGCACTCAGACCACCATAACCTGCTCCTCAGGATCCCAGCAGCTCTTCAGTTGACAAGCCAGTGTCTACTTGATCTCTCAGCTCTGTCCTGTCTTGTTAAAAAATGCTCTGTGAACAAAACTTTTAGCTGTTTCCCATTTGGGAGTTAATCCTCATTTGCTTGCTCCTAATCATTTATGGCAAATAAATTTTACCCATGTTCTGTTGAAGGAGCTGCGGGTTGCGTTCCTGCCACCCGGCCCCGGCCACCTGGCTAGCTTATGCCCTGAAATTACAACACACAAACTGTATTCATTTAAACACTGCCTGGCCCATTTCTATTAATGTGTGTAGCACCGAGGTGCGCTTACTGGGAAGATTCTAGCCTACGTCTATCCTGGGTCGGAGCTTCATCATGTCTGCCGGGGAGAGAGGGGAACATGGCGTCTGAGCTCACTTCCTTTTCCTCCCAGCATTCTGTTCTGTTTATTCCACCCACCTATGTTCTAACCTATCAGGGCCAAGCAGTTTCTTTATTAATGACCTTCCTCCATCAATGTTCCTTCTTTTGGGCTTATGCAATATGTTCACGTAACCGTGGATACATATTCTCATCTTATTTTTGCCTCAGCCCATAAAGGAGAAAAATTATGGGATGTTAGAAGTCACTGTCTCTAGACTTTTGTCTACATGAGAGTTCCAAAAACTGTAAAAACTGGCAATGGGCCAGCCTACACCAGCACTGGCTTTGCTAAATTTTGTTCTGAGTTCTCTATTTCTCATAAAACAGGAATACCTTATAATCCTCAAGGACAAGCTATAGTGGAGCGAGCACATCATATTTCAGTGGCCTGCTCTCGAGATATCTTAAAATAAAGTCTTAAGGACCCAGCATTGAGATGAAAATGATTATGAGCTTTTTTTGTAGCTTTATAATATTTTTGACTAACTGTACAAATTTGGCGAGTAAGCTGATCAGCCAATGCATTCCCCTTGCTCAAGAGACCAAAAAGGCCAGTATGATCCTACAAATGCCCTATGTAAATGGGAACAGATCGGGTCCAAAGCAATGTCTGAATAGCCAATGACTACATCTGGACTCGAGATACAGAGGCAATATAAGCTGTAGTCTTCAAAGGTGCAAGAAATTTGTTTATAATATTAGCATATTTTTTAAGACCATTGTACAGCTATCAATTTAGCCACCTGAGCAGATTTAGCATCAACAGGCTGAATATCAAAATCTGGAGGGGAGGTCACTACAGCTCTCCTGGTAGAAGACCCATCAGTAAACACATTCTGTGCCCCTGCCAGAGCCTGTAAAGGAATAACTTTGGGGAAGCAGACCTGGTGATTTTTGCTGCCCAAAAACTCCAGTAGTTCTATGCTGAGAGGGAAGAATTATCAACAGCAGCGGCTGACTATAGTCAGTATAATGAATATGAGCAGAGGGAAGCTTTTTTAAATTAAAGTAATACATTGCCTTGACTGAGATGTCAACTTACAGAAAGAGGTTGGATCTGGATTCCCCTGCAGAATGTCAAAGAGTAGTTTTAAGACTCCCATAGGAATTCACAGACTGGGCCAGACACAATTGAGGTCTCCAAGCATTTTGAAAATTATTTAAAGTTTGTAATTTATCTAAGCAAAGAGTAACTTTTTGTGGTTTTACTCCTGTCTGCAACAGCTGATGCCCCAAATACTGATATGGAAACTGTTGTTGTATCTTTTCAGAGACAATCATCAACCACAGAACTATCAGCCCCTGTATCTGGAAGGCCTTGGAACCTTTTCCCATGACAATTATGAGCCCAATGAGCTCCCTTTTGATATATTGGGCAAACACCGGGATTTTTCCTGGTCTGACTAACCCTTTACCCACAGGGCAGTTCCTTTTGCTGTGTTTCTAGTTGTGGTGTGGCTCAGTCCTAGCACACACTTTTTACGAAGAGCTTTCTGCTTAAAATAATATTTTATTTTTGAGACAGGGTTTCTCTGTGTAGTTTTTAAGTCTGTCCTGGAACTCCCTCTATAGACCAGGCTGGGCTCAAGCTCACAGAGATCTGCCTAACTCTGCCTCCCAAGTGTTGGGATTAAAGGCACTAGCCACTAATGGAGGATGGTCATTGGTTAATTAAATAAAGAAACTGCTTGCCCTGATAGGTTAAAACATAGGTGGGAGGAGTAAACAGAACAGGATGCTGGGAGGAAGAGGAAGTGAGCTCAGACTCAACAGCTCTGCTCTCTGGAGCAGAGGCCATGCTTCGCTCTCCCAGAGACACGCGATGAAGCTCCAACCCAAGATGGACGTAGGCTAGAATCTCCCCGGTAAGCCACCTCGTGGGCTACATAGATTATTAGAAATGGGCTAGTTCAGGTGCGAGAGTTAGCCGAGAAGAGGCTACATATTATGGGCCAAGCAGTGTTTAAAAGAATACAATTTGCGTGTTGTTATTTCGGGCATAAGCTGGCAGGCGGCCGGGGTGCTGGGGACGCAGCCCCACCGCTCATATTTCAACAAGCCACCAGTGCCCAGCTTTTTTTTTGTTGTTGTTGTTTAAAGGCGTGTGCCACCACCACTCAACTACAAGTGATTTCTTGCTAGTACTGTTTGTACCATATATCTGTGTGGTGTCCATAGGGGCAATGAATGTCATGGAACAGGAGTTAAGGATGGTTATGAGGCATCAGGTGGGTGCTGGGATCTGAACCTGGGTCCTCTGCAAGAGCAGCAAGTGCTCTCAAGCCCTGAGTCATCTCTTCGGTCCCTGGATCATGGTTTTTAAAAAAACATAAATCTCAAGTAGACCCAGCCTGTAAATCCTTGGGTCTCCACTGGAGGCAGCACCAGGATTTCCAAAGGCAGAGACAGAGAGGGAGAGGGGACCTTGCGCAGAAAACAGATCCAAAACACAGATCTGACAGGAGACCCTGTGGATCCCTTCTCTCTGCCCATCCTACAACCCGGGTTAGATTCTGATAGATGGGAAAGGAGAGAACCTTCAGGGAGGGGCCTGAAGGGAGGCAGGAGCTCAAGAGACTGAAGTTCATGTTCTTATCCCACAGTCTCCTGAGTGCAGGAACCTAGTTGGGCTTTGAGGGGATGAGGATGGAAAACAGCTCTTACTGCTGTCACTCAGGGACCCCACAGGATAATGAGGCAGACACCACTCACAGGAGCAAGAACAGGCCTAGTCCTTCATACTAACTAAACAGATAAAATAAACACAGAAGACAGGGGAAAGAGTCATAGCCAGGACAGCAGCCCTGACTGTCACAGCAGCCCTGGAGGCTCATAATCCCAGGGACAGGACGAGGCTCTGGCCATCCCAGTGTCCCTGTGATCACAGATGTCAGCATTTGGTTCTAAGTGATGAAGACAACAGAGTCAGGAGGTGACAGAGCTGAGGAGTGACCTTGTCAATGCCAACAACGCACTGAGCTCCACCTGGGCACAGCCCTGTTCTCACTCAGCTCCCACAGCCTCATCCTGTCCCACCAGATGC